TGATTTTTTTAAGTGCATTACATTTTTATATACATGTACCACTCAAACCGATTAATGTATCATAAGTATTTTGTCTCTTTAAAAGTCTAAAAAAAATTTAAGTAGGCTTTTCATATTACAAAAACAACGATACAATGTATTGGGCATATCCTTTCTCATTTTTGAGTGTTTGTTCATATTTTGTACAAAAACAAAACAGACCTCGAAAACATGGGTGCATAACAAACTCAAACATAGGTAATCAGAGATTACAGAGCTCACCTCAACGTGTGTTGTCTTTAAGTAAGGCAAATTAAGTCACACAATTAACCATATATATCCAAAAATGCAAAATTTATGCAATTTTGATACTTTGGAATAGACCTATATAAAAACTAAAAACTAGTTCTTCATCATGAAAATGTAATTAAAATCCAGCATCTGAAGCAAGATTGAGAGTTTTCATCCCTTGATGCATCATTTAAGCAACTGGTTTATATAAGCCTTATAGTTTCTTGGTGATAGACTTGCACCCATAACTTTTACGAGGTCTATTATCTGGAAAATGTATGTCGAATTCAGCATCTGAAGCAAGTCCATTAGTGTGCATCCTAAGATGTATCATCCATGCAAGTTTGGTCAACATAGGGCTTAAAGTTACTTGCAAATGAAACCTGTATAAAATAATTAACCTTTCCACTAATCCAGAAAATGTAGGTCAGCATCCGAAGCCAGCCTAGTAGAATGCACCCTTAGATGTACCATCCATGCAAGTTTGGTCATTATAGGGCTCAAAGTTACTTGGAAATGAATCCTGCACCATAAACTTTAACCTGTTTACTCGTCCAGAAAATGTAGGTCAGATTCAGCATCATAAGTCTGGTAGTATGCAAAATGTACCATCCATGCAATTTAGTCATTGTAGGGTTCATAGTACACTGTACCTTGAAAATGAAACCTTCACCAAAAACTTTAACCTGTTCACTCAACCGGAAAATGTAGGTCAGATTCAGCATCCGAAGCAAGGCTGGTAGTATGCATCCTGAGATGTATCATCCATGTAAGTTTGGTCATTATATGTCTCATAGTAACTTGGAAATGAAACCTGCACCAAAAACTTTAACCTGTTCACTCACCCGGAAAATGTATCAGTATATCCGAAGCAAGTCTTAGAATACATCCTAAGATGTACCATCCATGCAAGTTTGGTCATTATAGGGCTCAAAGTATCTTCGAAATGAAACCTTCACCAAAAACTTTAACCTGTTCACTCAACCCGATGTAGCTCAGATTCATCATCCGAAGCAAGGCAGGTAGTATGCATCCTTAGATGTTTCATCCATGTAAGTTTGGTCATTATATGTCTCATAGTAACTTGGAAATGAAACCTGCACCAAAAACTTTAACCTGTTCACTCAACCGGAAAATGTAGGTCAGATTCAACATCCGAAGCAAGTCTAGTAGAATACATCCTAAGATGTACCATCCATGCAAGTTTGGTCATCATAGGGCTCAAAGTATCTTCGAAATGAAACCTGCACCAAAAACTTTAACATGTTCACTCAACCGGAAAATGTAGGTCAGATTCAGCATCCGAAGCAAGGCTGGTAGTATGCATCCTAAGATGTATCATCACTGTAAGTTTGGTCATTATATGTCTCATAGTAACTTGGAAATGAAACCTGCACCAAAAACTTTAACCTGTTCACTCAACCGGAAAATGTAGGTCAGATTCAGCATCCGAAGCAAGTCTAAAATACATAATGTACCATCCATGCAAGTTTGGTCATCATAAAAGTATCTTCGAAATGAAACCTTCACCAAAAACTTTAACCTGTTCACTCAACCGGAAAATGTAAATAATCCGAAGCAAGGCTGGTAAATCCTATGTATCATCCATGTAAGTTTGGTCAACATAGGGCTTATAGTTACTCGGAAATGAGACCTACACCAAAAACTGCACCAAAAATGTTAACCTGCACCAAAAACATTAACCTGGTCATTCCTTTGCTGAAATTGCAGCATCTGAAACTTTGACTGGTACAATGAAACACACTAGCAACATCTTCCATGCATGTCTAATCAATATAGGACATAGAAGTACTTAAAAAGAAAACTGCTCCAAAAAACTTAACCTTAACCCGGGACGCCGACGCCGACACCGACGCCGACGCCGAGGGTATCACATAAGCTCCCCCCAACTTCGTTGAGGTGAGCTAAAAATGTAAGAAAATGCGATCAGGAGGGTCGAATATGCTCATCAAAATTCAATAGCTGTCGGGGGCATCCTCTGGATCCTCACCAGGGCTTAACCACGGACCCATTCGATGGGGACATTAGGCCCCCAAAGCCCCTGCCTACTCTTGCGTCCACATCAAAAGTGGCCTGGCTACGCCACTGACGATCCATGGGTTTTTGATTACTCCCTTACTTAGGGTATGTTTTTATCCATGAATAAGATCATGCATATTGTTATATATAATATTGGCATATATAATATTGACATAATAACAATTTATACAAATGCCTGAGTATAATGAAATTTATTTATTTGTGCAATTGCATTGCTAATTGTCTGACCTCACGGGGTCAGACAGTACTAGATTTAACCAGGGCTTATTTATGAAGTCGTTCCATGAATTTGTTTAGATAGTTCAATGGTGGAAATTTCGATCCAAGCATAATCTTCATAGTCGCATGTAATTCGTCCCAGGAGGAGATGAGCTTTTATTTACATTACTAAATGATCTTGCCTTTAGTATAATCCGTGCTTTATCTTTGAACATGTTCACTTCAGTTCTCTATAAAAATAATGCCTTAAATTATTATGTAAATCTCACTTTTTTTGTGTTGTGTATCAAATATTTAACCAATTTATATATGTTATTGTTAAATAATTGATTGCATATTTTCAGTAAAATTATACATTGACATTAAATTACTCGTACCTAAACATTAGGCAAGAGGTCGAATATATTTTTTTCTTGGTTGCCCTTCTCCAAGTATTGTAAAAACTGATAATACAGTGTCTGAGAAAAATGCAGTGAAAACAGAAAAAAATGTGTCATTCAAGTTTGCTTATAATTCATTAACGTGTTAATAGATTTGTTGCTGTATTGTTATACTTCCACTCCTATCCAACGATTATATTTTGGACGAGATTACATTTATTATCTCCTTGTTTCTTTTCCCAGATGCTTCAGTTCAAAATTTCATCAATCAATTACGTTTAAGTAGAGAATCAGTGGAAATCAAATGGTTTGAGAAGCAATGAAAACTATCAGCAGGAGAATGGTCAGCATGTGTAACGCTCTGTCAAGATTGTTATCATCAGGGTTAAGGTTATACGCGCCAATTAAGTGATCAATTAAGATCCTCCCATTGATTTCATCATTTACAACCTTCATTTTATTCTGTTAAATAAAAAATCAGTTAGGTCATTTAACATATAAAACACTTGAAAAATGCTGACCCGGGATCTTGAAATATCTTCAGCCTAAGTCGATCTTTATTTTATATGAAACAAAATGATAAAATGTTGTATATACAGAGGGGTTAAGGTTAAGTTCTTTGTACATTATTGTATACAATATTGTTTATGCATGGTCTCTTGAAGAAATCTTATCAAACAAAAGAAATTATATAACATTTATAACATATTATTTTTTTGCGCTTATGAATTTAAGCAAACAAGGTCAGACCAGCTTTTTAGGAAAGCTAATACTTGTTGTAAATGTAATTTTCACAATAATTATTGTTGTTAGATTTTATTACTTTTCATATTATATTGTAGGCCATCACCATTTAAATTTCATGTGTTAAATAAAGAGTGAAAAGCACGAAATTACGGCGTGTTACATTGACAAGCAAAGAAAAAGAGAAAAAAGAATATTGTCCAAAGTCGAAAATCCTATTTCGGGGGGGGGGGGGGGGGGGGGGATTAGAGGCCAACTTTTAGCTGCAGAACTGTAGCGCTATGGTTTTATATATTTGCCTTTGACCATAATGCTGCAGATCCTGTAATGCAAAAAGGTGCAATTTTTTGCGCACTTTTGTGTTTGGTTTTTATCTCTGAAGTTTGAGCATTGTTTCAGAATAAGATTTCTGTAGTTATATCTTTCCAGTAGCTAAAAACTTGCATGTGTAATTCTTTTAGCATTGGCGGTGCAACCGGGGAGCTGGGGGGGGGGGCAAAAATAGGCATCATATAGAGGCATTGAAAATTGGATTTTACCTTTTTTTTTGTTGGTTTACCCCCCCCCCCTCTTTCAATTTGCTTCCGACGCCCATGTTTAGTACAGCACAGCACTTAGTAAATTTCCTATTTTTGGAGAGCCTAAATTCAATAACGTTGGTAAGTCGTTTTTTAAATACTATTTGTAAATGTAAGTGTAAATAATTATTTTATTTTATCGCTAAACGTTCATAATTAAATAGGTTCAGTGGAGATCACATTATAAATAAATTTATGAGTGTTAAATCAATGAAAGACTATTTTATGATTTAGTGTTTTGTATTATAATATGACCACCTCGTACATTGCTGAGGTTTTGTATATCATGAATATCATATTTATCATGTATGACAGGATTTGAAATCATGCAATATATAACCTGCTGAACTTTCAAACCTGTGTTGTTATATATTTCACTTTGCAACCAAGGTTTACAATAACATTTCTGGTGAAAAGCACAGAACAACAAAATGAGAGACTTTAGATATCAAACATCAACAGAAAGATTTAGAAGTTTATGTCTACTTCTAAATTCCATCTTACCGTTCAATATTAACGGATCAGTTATTACAAGATTGGTTCAAAATGAGTAATGCTCATTGAGTAGCGATTTTACAAATTCTGAGACAGCAGTTTCCCTGGACTGTACTGCGCAGCCGCACAGGCCATCGCCAGCGGAAGGAAGTGGTCCAGGGTAGAATGAGCTTTAGCAAATCCTGGAGCTGACTTATATCCCAAAAGTCTTTCTTTTCTCTCTGAGGGAGAGTAACTCCTATTGGTGAGGACATCATTGAGCCCATTTTTCTGGTTCAATACTATGTCCTATGGCATGTGTAGCAAAGCCGCTCCCGATGATAAGAATATTATTATGTCTAAGTGGAGATAATGCTTCTGCGATCCTTAAATGGTCACTCATCCTTTCGTTTTTTAACAAAGAAACTTGTACAACTGAAAATATATGAGATACTCATGCAGGATACATTCGGGGTTTTATTGCATTTGCTTATTATAATGAAAATTAACAATATGACATATGACTGAATGTTATAGACATGGTGCTACAGCTAATATACCTGGAATATTCGCCTCAGGGAAGACCAGTTTAAGTGGAACAAACACCCCGTGATCCAGGCCTCTCTTTGTTTCTTCTGCACACTTTATCCCAGCATCTTTGAGGAGTTTTCCTACTTTTTGTGCAATTGCAGGTGCCCCCGGAGCAGGCCACTGTATTTTATACGTTTCGGGAGGGAATCCCCCGTAGTCGTAGTACAAAGTGTGTGGACTCCCGGCGTTAACTGTACAGATCGACTCCTCCCAGTGGGCGCTTAGGACCACCAAACAGTCCGGGCGTCTCAGGTCCTGGGTTTTTGTTAAAGTTCTTAAAAACTCGGCTCCTTTTGAATCCTTGTCTAGACCCTTCAATAATGGCATTTCTTTTGCTGAAAGGAAGAAAGAAGGCCCTCCGCCATGAGAGAGAAATATCACTGGTTGTGGAGACGACATGTCCGTATGTGGGTACTAGAACACATAAAATGCTGTATGCATTTGTTCTCCAAAATAATTATGGCTATAAAAAGAGTATTTAATTCATCATTCAATGACAGGATCTTTCATACAAGCTTTCTTTATCAATGTTCTGAAATATGTTCTGAATTTTGACCTGATGAAAACTATAAATCAACGAGAAAATAACGAAGAGGACTAACTAATAATGACTTTTTGCAATCATACCCGAGTGTCTTGGACTTGAACTTTCATACGTATACTAAGTTTCAAAATATCATGTAATTATCCCTTTGCCAACGGTCAGGGTTAGATACGTATAAATTAAGGCTTTGGCTGGGAGCAACAATAGTGAAAGTCGAAACATATAATTTATACCGACATACAACTTTTCTGGCTATTCTTATTACGCAATAAAAGAAAATACTTCTGGAAAATTCAGTACGTATTTCTCAAAGTAACTAGCTGAAAACAGTACAAATCCTTCCAGAGCACTGTGATCCAAGATTTTTCTTTCAAAGGCGCGGGGCGTCGAATGAATAAGTCAAATTCTAATTTGAATTTTTAAATAATCCTAAAACAAGTATAGAGTACCGGGTAATTATATACATCACATGTAAATTACACTTAATACATTCTGAGAGTGCACCTCCTCGCTGTCTTTGTCGCATGATAAACCAAGTAAACACTAAAAACAGCTGATATAAACATAAACATGATCACCCAGCTGTACAGAACCTATCTTCCTCCACTCAATGAAGAGTTCCACATAAACGACGATGTTGAACGTGATCTTCAGATTGCTCTTTTTGTTTGTCCTGGCAATTTATTTTTACATATTAGAAATTTTTAAGCTGTTCTCTCCAGCAAAAAGGAAGGATGTACGGAACGAGATCGTGCTCATCACGGGGGCGGGGCACGGAATCGGCCGCGAGATCGCTCTGGAGTTTGGCAGATTAGGGGCGCGGGTTGTCATATGGGACATCAACAAGGTAAATTATATTTATAGACTTCCTTCACAACAAATAATTTCAATCTCATTATCGCTAAGCTTATTCCTTTATGAGAAATATTAATATTACTAGAATCATTTATTTTATTATTTGCATCGATTTTTTGTGTCGAAGTTTTAAAAACATGTGTAAAGGGGCGGATTCATGCGAAAAATCTAGTTTGAGTCGTTTTCGTATTGTGTGCTTACATGTATATGTAACCACCAAATTTATATCGGTGAAATTTAGAAAGAAGAATGGATCAAGTGATGAAAATAGTTCTAGTAAGAATTATGAAGTTATTTGTAAATTTTTATCCAGTTTTACATTTTAACAAACTTTAAGATAAATTAATTCATAAGGACAAAAAATATTAGGTAAAAAAAATCTTGTCACAATGAATACACATGTAAAATATGAAAACCATAGCACCTAATATTTAGTAGTTCATATGGACAACGTTAAAATTTTGGCGGATATACAGACGAAACGGACGGACCAAAACACACTTCTTTGACTGAATAACACGCCGGCACAAAAAGATATTAAATGCATATACATGTACGCCCAAATTTAAATCATATATATTCATGCATAAAAGGAAAATGACACAGTCTATTTGAGAAGGTTGTTAAAGACTGGTGTGTGTCATTTTGTAAAAACCTCAGAAGACAGATGATACATGTCCTTGAAGTTATGCTATGTCAGCGTTAGATCAGCCAGAGAGTCATCTACCGATTAATGTGTATTATCTCAACTGATATACTGACGAGAGAGAGAGAGAGAGAGAGTAGGGCTGGGTATTGGCCAGAGATTTTGTATCGCGATATATTGTAATATTTTAAACTGTATTGCGATATGTATTGCAATATTTTCAGTGAAAATTGCAATGGCATTTTCTTATTAAATTATAACTTTAATTTACATGCAGAATGTACATAACTATGAAAAGAAACAAAAAAGGAAAAAAAAAACCTTTGATTTAATTTAAGTTATGCTCCGAAATATATCCATAAAACAGCTTCTATCTTACTGCTTGGCTTAATAACAAGCCTTTCTAACATTCATTTCTATATAAATGATAAAATTCCTTAGTCTATGCATTTTGTCGATAAATCGATTTTACAAAAAACGTATTGCAATACAATATCGACTAGGGGTAATTTTGCCCAGCCCTAAGAGAGAGAGAGAGAGAGAGAGAGAGAGAGAGAGGTGACAGATTGGGGTGTGTATCATTACCGCTACATTTTCGAAATTTTTATTCCCGCTACATAGTCATTACCGCTACAAAAAAAGTTACATTACCTCTACATATAAAAGTATACATTACCGCTACATTGCCTCTTTCGTTAGCCAGCCACATATGCGTGTACTGTACAACCTGTACATGCATAAGACCTATTTCCCTGCTCACCACGGGGAGGTAAAAGTAGGACTTAGAGCAGGATGTTTTTTTTAATTATTGTTAAAATCAATTTTATTTCATAAAACACAAAAAAAAATTAAATCTCATACCAATAATTCGTCGAGGTCTGTTTTGCAGCTGCTTTTGCCACTCTTTTGAACGCATCTCCACAATTTTGAGTTTTTGAAAGTCTTATTTCTTCTAAATTTATAACCATCGATAAAAAAGCTGGCATTCCCTCGATTTGTAACAAATTTCTCAATGGTGGCCCTAATGTTCAATTACATTTCGACTGCAGTTATTAATATATATACTCATTCAGATTAGAATTCAAATCAAAACTGTCCTTCACTACATAGTGAGTGAATTCTGTTGATTAGAACTCATATACCGAACCATACCTGCCTAAATAGACATGCAGCGGTAATGAGTTGTTTTTGGCTGATCCAATATGTAGCGGTAATGAGTTGTTTTTGGCCGGTAAAATGTAGCGGTAATGATCGGTCGAAAATCTTAACAAATGTAGCGGTAATGAGTTGAAATTTTTGGCAATGTAGCGGAAATGTTGACCTCCCACTGATTGTAACACCATTGAACAAGGTAAAGTATAAGGGTTTAGATAAGGGCTTAGAGATATAAATCACTCCTGTAACCCGTGTGTACACATTTGACAGTGCATACATGTGGTTACCCATTATCTCTCTCAGTCAAGCTGTGGTTTTACATTTTGCTCGGTAATTCAGTGTACCCGATAGTAGTCCTAAGTTCCTGTACTAATCTGTGTTGAAGGTCTAAATGCTCCGCATGTATAACATGTATAACGCACACGTGACGTAAAACGATCTGAACTTCAGAATGAAATTTTTTTTTCCCTCTTTTCTTCCCTATTTTTCCTTTGTTGCTTAAAAAAGAATCAGTTAAGGCGACCTCAAGGAAAGGCAATACCTTCAGACTTTAAAACGAGGTGCCAAATCAATGACCAACAAAGTTCCCAAAGAAAATACACGTAAAAAGATAGATCACTGAAAAAGAACTACATGTATTTAATAATTTTATATTCAACACAATAATTCTAACTCTCCACAACTTTAGTATTAGCTTTCGGGGTAAATTTGGTCCTAATTATAACAAGAAAACCTATGTCCCCCAAATTAAAGAAAAAAGGAGAGCATGAGCGGATCTACATGTAGGTCTAGAAGTGGGGTCAAAGGGGGTAAAAAGAGCAGATGGGGCCATAATGAGCTATGGTATAAAATTCATTGCAACAGCTCAAAAGCATCTTGAGATGTCGCCTGGAAAAGGGAGTTTTACACAAACACACACAAAATATTAATTTATCGCCTTGACCTTTGACCTTTTGACCTCAAGATAAAGAGGGATCTTCCTTAGACGATAGGGAGTTTTGGGCTTAAAGTTTAAAGACTTCTCGAGATATCGCACGGAGACGGAAGTATTAAATTGGACAGATTTTTAAAATTTATTTCTTTGACATTTGACCTTTTGATCTGAAAAACAGTTAGGTCATAGGGAGTAGTGTAAAACTTCATTGCAAAAACTCAAAGGCTTCTCGAGATATCGCATGGAAACGAGTGTTACAGACAGACAGAAATACGGTTACATGGAAAGATAGACGTACGGACAGGCAAACAGACCGGGACTACTAAGTTTTTATCGATATCAACACAAAATTAAATTCTTTTTAAATTTGGTATATTTTCATTGTTCAATTAAACCTTTAGAGTACAAACGACGCAACTGCAGAGGAAATTAAGCGGAATGGCGGTACAGCGTACTCTTACGTATGTGACCTGACGAAGACAGACGATATTCGTACGACAGCGGACAAAGTTCGGCGGGAGATCGGGGATCCATACATTCTTGTCAATAATGCCGGGATTCTAACAGGAGGGGAACTCCTTAAACTCAAGGAGGCTCACATCAGACGCACCTTTGAAATCAACACTTTGTCCCATTTCTGGGTAAGTATGCATGGCAAATCAACACCTCGTCCCATTTCTGGGTAGGTATGAATGGAAAATCAACACCTCGTCCCATTTCTGGGTAAGTATGAACGAGAAGTCAACCGTTACCGTTTCTGAGTAAGGAGTGTGAACGAGAAATTAACACCTTGTCCCATTGCTAGGTAAGTATGAACGAAAAATCAACACTCCCCATTTCTGAGTAATGAATGTATACGAGAATCAACACCTTGTTCCATTTTGGGTAAAGAGTGGGAACGAGAAATAAACACGTTGTCCCATTAGATTCTGAAACATCATAAAAATCCTTAAAAACAAAGATACATTTCGAGTTCCAGTAAATATTCTACCAGGCCTCTGCCTTTACTCATCATTAAGATATTAACAATAATGAAGGTTAAAATAGTACTGTGCAGCATTACATTCTAGAAGTGGTTTAAATCAGGTGTTGAAAGTTAAAAATTCCATGGAACTTTTGAAATAAGATTTTGCAAAAATCAAAATCTTACAATCTTACTTTTCATCTGTATACACGACCATACCCTGCAAATAATTAAAGGCCAGACTTTTTGATATCATTGACAGCTACATTTTAAAATAGAGATGGAACTTGCAAATTTTCTTACCTTGTCATTGGTCATTCGCAAAATTATTTTGTTAAAAACATTCTGATTGTACACACAAGTACTAGTACTCTGAAGTTGACATAAAAAGACGAGTTTCTGATTGACAATCTGTACCGTTTTTGGAGACAAGGTCTTCCAACAATCTTTTGGAATTCTCATTGGCACCAAGTGCGCCCCGTTATAAACATACCTATTTTTGAATTCATATGAAGCAGAATTTGTCCAAAATCTTTTACCTCAAAAGAACAAAATACTTGCTGTGGCCATAACTTTACATTTATATATACATATCATTTATGTCAATTTAGAATGGTTATTTTCATTCTTATATTGATACAAAATATACTGGTGAGCTTGAGATAAAACAGTGTGTGACACATCTGTTTCATATTTGGATATTTTACTTTAAAGGGACGTAAATGATAATCTGACATCCAAGCTATATGATAAACTTATTGAATTTAACTTTCAAACCGTCAACTTATGAAGCAATATGCCTTCACCACTTGCATACAGGGCATATATCTCTCAGATTCCATACAGTAAAATTTCTAAAGGTAAATTATTGACCAACAAGTTGATGAAACAAAAATATTAAAAGTCTCATTTACATTCACCATTTATTTTCTATGGTCGATACAATGATCTTGTCAGAAAAATGATTGTTAGTCCATTACTTACAAACTAAATTGACAACGCTTTTTCCGTTATTTCCCGATCATGACAAGGAGTTTCGTCGAACCCAAGAAGCAAACTCTTTACCTGATGCCTCCCGTGGAGCCCAATCGGATCAATCTAGGTCTAATATACACTGTTATTGGGAGTTGAACTATGTTCAATCTCCCATGGTCATCACGCATTTAACATGCGCAGTAATTTGTGTTGATTATATAGAGCCGAAAGCGAGGCTACTGTGTCGACCGATTTACTCCGATAATATTCAACAGAAAACATGCATAAACATCCGCCACAAATAGTTCATATCATTTTCTCCTGAATTGATCTAATTTTCATAATTTGAAATGTGAGTAAATGTAATGACAAAGTAATCTTATTTTGAATATTAGATTTCGTTCAAAGTAAAACTAAATTATAAAGAACCTCAAATGTTTTTCGTAATGGAACTCATTTTTAGTGTAGCGTCATACACTGAAAGGGATACGAACGACAACCCTACATACTGACGGCAAACGATAAATCTAGTCTTCCCGACGCCCGACGGTCCCGGATTTTTAGCAATTTCTTTTTTACCGGTGCACAGAATTTATTCAAACTTTTCATGAATATTTTCTTGGTTTTAATGAATTCCTAAATGCATAAAAACTTAAGGGAACATGCGTATTTATTACTAAATCAGCAGTATCACCTGCAAAAGCGGTAAATCTAGTACTCTGTTATAAATGTTAAAACCAAAAACGGACACCGATGTTTTCGTAAAATCGCCATTAAAAACAACAAAATGAAGTATATTTTTTCAATAAAAGGAAAACCTCATTTACATACCAGATAATTTGTACGCACACAAACTCTCACATATACCACTGTTTTTATGTTTGGTCATTAAATATTTGTTTTTAACTTGGTATTGCTTTTATCTTCACAATATTAAAAAAGATTAAGTTCTGACGTACTCTGTGTGTAATGTTCGTGTAATTGAAATACATTTATATTCACAGAGAAGTTTTATATAACAAACCTGTTAGCTCTTAAAAGGATGCTGTGTTAAAATCCACATTTTATCAACATTGATATTATCCCTGCGAAACTGAAATTTTCATAACACATGGGTAAAGGTGCCAAGGAAAAATATATTACAAATTTGAAGACTGTGAGCAGTGAATTATATAAATGATCAACCGCCTCTAATATGATTATAATGGCAGTGTCCATGTTTTGCAATGGGAAACCCAAAATATGTGTAGGATGAAAAAGTAATAGAAGGTGCACAACAGCAATATGTAATAAAGATTCTATGAAAATTTCGTTCAGTGGTGTAAGAGGAGTTGCGGATAAGAGATTGGTATACCTAAAGAGTAACAAACAGATGGACTGAAATCCCGATTAATAAATACCCTCCCGCTTTTCAAGCAGGGGGTATAAAAAAAGGACTAATGTAGGCAGGCAAGTATTATGGCCCATGAATTTTTTTTTGCTATTCAATGACACTGAATGTCTTTCTCAAGATTGTTGCAACTCAAAAAATCTGAAACAGTTGTCTGTATTTTTGAAATAATAATATTGTTCACTCACTTAACCTCCCGATCAAAGATTTTATTTTACACCATGTTCAACTCCCATGAGTGCTTTCAGTACTTTGATTTTAGTATTTGGAACCGCGCATTAACGTATGAAATATAAGGTATATTTATTTAGGTAACAGCTTTAAACAAATATGACAATGATTGCGTCAAACGATGGACAAGAACAGTGAGGTCTTTGGAATAAATTTTTCTCCTGTTTTACACAGACTTGTCAGGAGTTCATGCCGGCCATGCTAAAGGACAACAGAGGGCATATAGTGACCATAGCTTCCATGTCAGCAATGTCGGGTACAGCATATCTCGTAGATTACAGGTAAATATTACAATGTCTGGTGCAGCATATCTCGTAGATTACAGGTAAATATTACAATGTCGGGTACAGCATATCTCGTAGATTACAGGTAAATATTACAATGTCGGGTACAGCATATCTCGTAGATTACAGGTAAATATTACAATGTCTGGTACACCATATCTCGTAGATTACAGGTGAATATTACAATGTAGTGTACAGCATATCTCGTAGGTTACAGGTAAGATATTACAATGTCGGGTACGTTAGAATGTCTGGTACAGCATATCTCGTAGATTACAGGTAAATATTACAATGTCTGGTACAGCATATCTCGTAGATTACAGGTAAATATTACAATGTCTGGTACAGCATATCTCGTAGATTACAGGTGAATATTACAATGTCGGGTACAGCATATCTCGTAGATTACAGGTAAATATTACAATGTCGGGTACAGCATATCTCGTAGATTACAGGTAAATATTACAATGTCTGGTACACCATATCTCGTAGATTACAGGTGAATATTACAATGTAGTGTACAGCATATCTCGTAGATTACAGGTAAGATATTACAATGTCGGGTACGTTACAATGTCTGGTACAGCATATCTCGTAGATTACAGGTAAATATTACAATGTCTGGTACACCATATCTCGTAGATTACAGGTAAATATTACAATGTCTGGTACAGCATATCTCGTAGATTACAGGTGAATATAACAATGTCAGGTACAGCATATCTCGTAGATTACAGGTAAATATTACAATGTCGGGTACAGCATATCTCGTAGATTACAGGTGAATATTACATTGTCAGGTACAGCATATCTCGTAGATTACAGGTAAATATTTTCAAAGCAATTTATGTTTTCCAGTGTAATTTAACTGATTTTACAAGTTCACTGAAGCTAGTTTTTTGCACACACTTCTAAATTTATGTAGACCATATCGCATCTATATTAAAGTAACGCAAACACAAAGTTTGATGGATGAATTTGTCATTTATTGTACATGTATAAATGACGAAAGATAATCAAAAGATACATCAGATAAAGGGGAGATCACTCTTGAAAAAATGTGTGAATTTGTACAAAACATTAGTTGATCTCCCCAGTGTAACATATTACATCAAGAAAATCCAAATAAACAATCCAGAATGTAAAAAATAACAATCAGCAAAAAAAGAGGCAGACAAAAACTGCCTTGGCAGATAAAAAACTGCCAAAATTAAAACATATTGAAATATTTAAACATACATGTATTTTTAAATATTTTTATCCATTTACTCTTTACATTGCATATTAATTTAGCAGTTATGTATAAAGGTGGAATAATGATCGGGGTGGTTGGTGGGCAATACTTGGAAAACCCTTCTTACTGCGATCGAATCAAAACAAGAATATAAGTGACGTAGAATCTACATTTAGTGTTTCTTCTGATTGGTCGGTAAAATAACCCCCTATTGATCACTCTAATATTGGCACAAAATTAAAACACGGATAAAAACGGATTGATTAACCAGTTAAAAGTACCAACTCAAAAATTCATTACATGAATACATGAAATCATTACATGAGTACATAAAGCTATTATTTACAATAATGCAGTTTACTGTATACCGTGTTATTTTCGCCCTTTCACACTTGCTTACACATTTGGCCTATTTTAAATTTGACCAGTTCCAGTTCTGTTTAAGAATGTGTACTCTTTTCTTTGAATTCGCCCCGTTTTAAATTCGCCCACTTGTGACAGGGGCGAAAGGAGCGAAAATAAAACGGGGGCGAACATTTCCCTTTATACAGTATTTAGATTGGAGTCTGTCTGTATCAGCAAAGATTTTTTTATCGCCTCCATATAACATCCCCTCGCCCCCTTTCACAGTTCGCTAAGATGTTCTTTTTCTGCATGCAGCCTTACATTTGATCTATGAGTAGGAGTTTAAGGGTATTAGGGTATTAATGTAATACATTTGATGCCTAAAACGCTATTCAAGAAATGAAACCTAAAATAGAATCGCATTCAAATTAAACATTTGTCGCGCTACAGATACAAGTACACGTATTTTCTTTCATATTTCTAGTTCTTCAAAGTATGCTGCTTTGGGATTTGCTGAGGCTCTGAATGAAGAACTTAGAACTATGGGTAAAACTGGAGTATATACTACCACTGTATGCCCAATGTTTGTTGATACAGGTCTTGTGAAACAACCAAAAGATAGGTAAGCGCTTAAATTTCATATAAATCTTAGCTTGGACCAATCAATAGATGTTTTACAGAGAAGGTGCAGACTATTTAAACCAATCATTGGGTAGTTTGCAATTTGCATAACAGGTAGAGTACACGTATTTAATCACTGGATAAAAGTGAATGAAAATTAGTTTAATGAAAGCAATAAACCAATCGTACGGTAGTCTATAAAGCAGGTATAATATTGAACCAATTATTGTGTAAAATACAAAACAGGTAAAATTACTGAGCATTTTAGAGAGCAAGTAGGAAAATAAATCAATTGCTGAATAAAATACCGGGCAGGTAGAAAATTTAAACCGATTGTTTTGTATTTATCAACGCTGGTAGAACATTAAATAAATCGGTGGATGTTTTAATAAGCAGATAGAATCAGAGAGAATATTAAACAATATTTCGATAAATTGCAGGGCGGGTAAAATGTTCAACCAATCGTTTGGTATTTAACAAGGAGGTAGAATTATGGAATATCAATGCTGATTGAACGGTCGCAAACTGAGTAAAACGGATGTTTGCGACCCGTTAAATCAGCATTAATGGTCACAAATACCAAATTTGAAGATAAGTTATTCCCATTCTAATGCAATCCATGCATTTTGTTTGTTGTTTACGTTAACGCCGCGGAGCATTGTGTTTTTGCGCCGCTCTATTATGACGTCACAATGAAAAACTTTCACTCTCGTTAATGCTCGTTTTACTGCTTCAAACATCAGTGCATTAGCCAATCAAAACGTGTTTTACAAAACAATTGCATTAAAATATTTAACCAATCGTTTTGTATTTCACAAAGCAGATCAAATATTCAATCAATTGTTGGATAATTTACAAGGTAAGAAGAATATTAAACCAATTATCGTTAGATAAATTTCAGGCTAGGTAGAATATAATTGTTGCGTATTTTACAAACGTAAGAGACCTATTTTTAAAAATACAGAGCAGATAGAATATTTAACCAATCAGTGAGTATATGACAGGGAGGTAGAATATTTAACCAAATAGTGGGTATTTGACAGCGAGGTAGAATATTAATAACCAATCGTTGAGTATTTTACAGGAAGGTAGAATATTTAACCAATCATTGAGTATTTTACAGGGAGGTAGAATATTTAACCAATCGTTGAGTATTTTACAAGGAGGTAGTATATTCAACAAATCGTTGAGTATTTTACAGGAGGTTGAAAATTAAACCAATCGTTGAGTATTTTACATGGGGGTAGAATATTTAACCAATCGTTGAGTATTTTACAGGGAGGTAGAATATTTAACCAATCGCTGAGTATTTTACGAAACAATCACTGGGTACTAAGTATTTTACAGGGAGTTAGAACATTTATTATAACCAATAGTTGATTATTTTACAGGTCAGGTAGAATATTTGTTGATTATTTTACAGGTCAGGTAGAATATTTATCCAATCGTTGATTATTTTACATGTCAGGTAGAATATTTAACCAATCGTTGACAATTCCTTTATAGAGCAGGTAGAATATTAACACCTAAGGAGGTGGCTTTATCAACGGTTGATGGAGTACTAACCAATGAAGAAATAGTCTATGTGCCTAAAAGAATGAAATTCCAAATGACGCTTTCTGGGTTAGTAATAGGAAAATGCCTTATTCTTTACTTTATATATCCTGTATTGATTTTTGTTGATATCTTTCTTTATACTGATATATCATTTTCTTTTTCAGATTTTTCCCTAGAGACATGATTAAGTACACCAAAAAACTCTCAGGGGTTGGCATCGAACCGCAATATGAGCCAACCACATTTAAGACGGACTAATGACAAATACGTTACAAACTAGTCTTCCATTTATACAGTCTGCTATATTCATAGATGTTCATTGTAAATTGATGTTGTACTTAAGATAGACAGCAGCAATTGAATAATGAGAAAAATATTATTCAGAATATATTTTATTACATATTTGTCCTTAAAATAATCTTTTGAAACATAAATTATTAGATTTGGACCAAGCATTTCTTTTTTTTTAATTAAAGGAAGCTTTGCTTTCCAGTCCAGAAATTTGCTAATTTCATTACTTTTGCTAATCTATGTAATTTGTTTTAACTTTCTGACTACAAATCTCTCAGTCAGAAATTTTGTTCTTATCAGAGATTAACAATGGTTAAATCATGTTATGGAGAGAGTTTAATGAAAGAAGAAGCTTCATGTTACATTTTTTAATCGGAATACTTAAAACATTGCTGTGACGTCATGCTTTTGTTCTTGCAGAGTAAAAATTTACCAGTACCCGTCCGATAATAATAATTACCAGTTCGATAATATATTATCGGACGGCAGTGATAACAAAATCGGACGGTATTTAAAAAAAACATAAAGAAGAATAAAATAAATGTTGAAGATGTCCAGAAACAAAAAAAAAATGTTAGGAAAATTTTCAGGGAAAGCAAACACAAGAGAACTAAGTTGCTACAAAATAGCAATTCCATGAGAGAAAATAATCGAGTTTAATCCTTCTTCAAAATTAACACTTTCCACTTTTTAAAGCATTTTTGATACAACACTTTGAATTAGCGAATTTAAATCCATTTTTGAGGAAAAATTTGATAATTTTAGGTTTGCTTCCCGATGGCCGTACTTTTAAAACACGAGAATTTCCATTATATAAACTAAAACTTCAGGATAAAAATCCGCATATTTTCACTTTCCATGGTGATGGTAATAATAGTTATCACCCAAAATTATGTCTGCATCAATGTCAATTTATACACTTAATAAAAAAAAATGTTCCAAAATAATAAAAAAAATCCTTCACCACTGGACCCCTGTCCTTCTTAGCTAAACGATTGCCATTGAATAAATGAAATGAAATAAGAGTTCACTCACTGTTTCTATTACCTCATTCCTTTTATCTTTTTTTAGAAGGGTAGGGAACAATGGATGCCTGATCTCCCATTGTGTAATTATCGGACTCCTCCAGGTAACTTTTGGACATTTAAATGGCAATGTTTTAAGTAAGATAAATGCCTCATACTATTCTATATGTAAAATTATCAGACAGTTTTGGCCCTAATGGGCCTCAAACAGTCTGATAATTTTACATATAGAACAGTATTTGGCATATATCCATTACATGATAAAACAATCTTATTTGTTGTGAATCTGAATTTTGCCCTCGACACTGTGAGCAGACGAAGCTACAGATTATGAGATTGGAAATTAAGAAGAAAATTAATTTTGCAAAATATGCTTAATTAATTCACACACTAACGAGATATTTTACTTATGAATGAAAAAATATTTAGTTATTTGTATGACATTTTGTATTTTGTGGTGGACATGAATTTGTGGTTCGCATCACACCCCAAAAACAAGGAAATTAACCCCCGCAAAAAATAAATCAAGTAAAATTCCTGGTATCTATCGACTTTATTTCCTTATTCGAAGATTCAAAGATGTAGTTTGTACGTTCATTATGAGAATCTACATTTTCCTTTTAGGGTAGGCAATTTGCAATCGGTCAACTGCTTACTAGGTCAAACGATAGTTATCTGATAGTTACTCGAAGGTCGTTGAGTTGAAAATTCATTTTTAAAAACAACGTTGATAAGCTGCTGTTTATTTCTGGGTTAAGGTGCATTAAGATAATTAGACTCTCTGGATTGAGATCAGGGAGGGGATATTAGTCAGTTTGTTGGGTGTTAGTGGTATTCAGTGTGAAAACATCACGTCAGTCTATTTTGTATTCGATTCCCATCACTTATTCCACTATGTCATTTGATTTTTATTTTCCTGGTTTATATGTTTCACGACAGAAACGGGTGTCCCAGTCACATCCGTACTTTGATTGTGTGCAGGCATTTTGAGTGTACCAGCAATTTCTATTAGATCTCATGATACACTGGTTATTTGACTTGGGCAGACACTCCCTTCCACCAAATAAATTGATGCAGTCAACAACCTGAAAAAGTAAAATTATTTTTTTTTTATTTTATTTTAAGCCACCAATCCTTATGAGTATGTTTTGTAAAACATACATAATTTGATATATGAATTCTTGCAGTGTCTGTTACCGATTTTTAAAAAAAATCTTGTTATTTCTAACTGTTCATCAAAACTTATTTTAAGAATTAAAAGTTTTGCTTGATTTTTACTTAGTACATAAACAAGATCTTTAAAAAAACTTTTATGATTTATTGTAAATGTAAAGAAGCATAACTTGCTGAGATTTTAAAAAAAGAAAAAAAAACGTATTCAGAATTTGATTTCTTCCTCTTTATACATTTATCTACGATAAGAATTAACTTAATTTTGTTAAATAGAAAGTAACTGATTTTAAACAATTTCTCTGATACTTAAGCGAAATTCTTTAATCTGAACTTAAGCCTTTTTGTGCTATTTTATGTGCTCAATTTCTATGCTTTAAATTTTTACGCCATTGAAAATATCAGTGATCTTTTAATTATTGTTAATATATTTACGCGTTTCTATCAAATATTGCTCCTAGCAGAGTACTTGAAATGAGAGCAAATATAAGGTGTAACATGGTTCGTATAACCCACAGTCTCTTCTGCTCATGAAAGAAAGTACTTAATCCCAATATTTTACTTACATTGCAGCCACAGTTTCTCTTGTATATTCCGCGATTGAAAGCTTTTCGTTGATATCTTGAGAACGATTTATAAAGACCATTTAGATCACATGAATTTGTTGTCCAAACACCTCTTTGAACACTTCCTTAAAAAGAAAAAAAATTATTAAGGTGAATAAATAATGCAGAGCAGCATCTAGTTATTATCTAATATGTTTTTCAAAATGAATCAATACCATTTATGTGAGCAGCAAGTTTTTCTGAGTCAGTTATTCGATAATTTGGAAACATTGTGTTTGTTTTCCATACCAGTTACAGTCTTTTTTAATCTGGAATTTAGAGGATTTTTTAAAATTAATTGATAAAATTGAAGAAGGAAAAACCAAAGAAATATCTCTTTCACGTACAATGTACCTATCATTTCGCAATGTCGAGTTTACTTCGTGCTCAA